CTTTCTAAATTTTGTTAAATACATCCTTATAACCTATAAAACTGGTTAATAAGGTAAATAATGGAAAAAGTCCGGAAAAACCAATGAGTTTTCATATTTTGAACGATCAAATCCTTAAACATTTTCTAAACGACAAAAAGTACTTACATTTATAAAACGAAACAAATATATCATTCTCATTACTCTTCCCAAAACATATAAAAATTGTATCCAAAGTATAATAATCTGCATACAAAATTTAGGCATAATTTTACCAAAAGTTGAACTAAAATATATACCAAAAGTTGAACCAAAATATATACCAAAAGTTGCGCCAAAAAATACCAAAAGTTGTGCCAAATAAGCAAAAGTTGCACCAAAATATAGCAAAAGTTTCCCTAAAATATACTAAAGTAATGTTTAATCTATATTAAGGTCATGGTATGAACTTTCTTCATTTGCTTCATTAATTTCTGGTGAAGATATAACCATTTGGCTTTCTTGTAATCCTTCTTGATGTCCAACAACATCATCACTTTCATAATCTTCTTTATCACCAACAGTAGTATCACCTTCATTACGGTCTTCATCATTAACAACCTCTTTTGAAATTGGATACGGTAGGATGCCTTTGGACCATGGCAACCTGGGGACATATTTAATGATGAAGATAAAGTATAAACAATAGTCATTAAAAATATTATTTGAATCTGAAAAATAAATAATGGCTTATCCCAATCATTGCTTCTCCCGTGATTGGATTATAAGAGACCCCTACGTATGATGGTATCCTCTCACCTCTATTGCCTCTTCTTGTTGTTGTCGATTTTGGGATATTGAGTCTTGGTCTACCTTTTGGTTAAACAATTTTAGGTGGTGGGTTCTTCTTTTCATTCTTACAAGTCCTAGCATTATGCCCCATTTCCAAACAATTGCTACATGTCATTGTCTTCGCAGATTGAGTCACTCTTGTACCTTGACTCTCAGATTTTGATCCTTTTCTTTTGATGGATGATCTACCAGACATTCTCCTCTCTTTAATTAGGTGGGTTTGGTTTGATGTAAGGTGTTGGAGTCCACATGTTGCTCCCATTCAATGGTCTTATAGTATTCTCATAGGTCATTTTGAAGAGATCCTTAGTAAACCATTTACTAATATAATCCTCTGGATCATTATTGATAAAGTGTATGGCAGCAATGAAATGCACACAAGGAATGTCTGATATGTCCACAATCTACAACTACATTTTCTAGCATCCAAGTCTACCAACGTTACTTCATAACTATTTCATGTTTCAAACACATTCCCACCACTAGGGATAACATACCAATATCTACATGCGAAAAAGAATACATTAGCATACAAGATCACATTACCATCATAGACAAGCATACATAATAAAATTACCATCATAGATAAGCATACCTATGAGTTTCTCCTCATTTCTTTAACTTTTTCCTTATGGCCGGACAAACAATTGATTTCCATTCTTGTGCTTTGATTAACCTTCTGTAATGCCTTTCCATAACAAATATCCTTATCTCCTCTGACATTGTGATTATGGGTTTTCTTCTTGCATCAACAATCACTGAATTAAATGACTAGCAATTCCCATTTTGTATAGCTTCACAAGCTCTATTGGGTTGGAAAAATGCCCTACACCATGTATTAAGGTCCCTTTCAGTCAAGTCATTATATGCATCAATGATTTGTATCTTAAACTTTTCCATGTGTGACATAGAGGGAGGTTAGCAAGCGAGTTTAAGTAGTTAGGGTCTCCTATTAGCAATGCCTCTAGATGTTCTATTGACAAAGATGGTCGGTATTCTTGGCTTAGTAAGGATGAATCCTTTTTAGTCAAGGATTTCCAGGACTTCGTTGAAAAGACTTTTACAGGTATCATTTCATGTCCCAGGTAATCGTTGACCTCATGAATTGGAGGTTACCGGTGAGGACGACTCTACATGACAAATGTTTAGATATCCCCTCCTTAATTTGGCAATGTTACAACCTTGAGATCGAGTCTTTGGTTCATTGCTTTGTTAATTGTCCATTGGTGCTTCAATTATGGAAGGGATATTTTTTGCTGGTCAGATGGAGTCTTTCATCATCTGTCTCGCGTGAAGAGTTACTTATGTGTTGCAGCGGTCAACTCCCAGAAAAAGACAATAGATCTGGAAGAAGCTGGTGTGGATAACTTCATACTTGATATCGTTCGCGGGTCTATATGGGGTAGTTGTTTGAGGAGCTCTCTCTTTTAGTTGGTTTTGCTTTTGTTTTGTTAGACGTTCGTTTTTCCGCCTCTTTCAGAATTTGTCGTCCTCCCGTCCAGTATTCTCGTATAATTTATATCGTCTTGCCTTCCAAAAATATATAAGAACATACCTTTATATTTTACCCTCGATAATCGAAAAAGCCTTTTGTTTTGTTGGGCGTTTGTTTCTCTAACGTATAATTATTTTAATCGTATAAAGATAAATAAAAATAAAAATAAAAACTAAATAGGAGTTATCAAATACTTCAAGCAAAAACTCATAACCATCATCAAGAACAATATAATCAAATTAATAACGTCTAATTCAACTAAAATCATGATAACCAATGATGCTCTCGACCAAATTAACCACACGAACAAAGCCGACTAACGGAAACCAAAACAAGAAGATCATGTCAGCGAAGAAACCAACTACGCTTGCAATCTAATGGGAGAAAAATCCGACACGAAAATGAAGCAAACGGAAGAAACATATTTCATCGGAGAAGTGTAGGAGGGGCGGTCACTGGCGGCGGTGGGGGCGGCAGTGAGGTTTGCACATATAAGTGCAGTCATAGAAACAGGGGCCACTGCAGTGAAGAGGGCAGTCCAATCTCATCCCTCTGCACCTCCCCCCTCCCATGCACTCTGCAAACTCCCCCATCACGTAAAAGTTTTCTCCAACTGGATTAAAGTCTCTATGCCCGCCATCACGATTGTAGTGATGATGACCACGGCCACGGCCACGACTTCTCTTTCTTGTATGTTTCCGACACCCCCATCTCCACCATCCACCACCACCACCACCACCACCTCCTCCTCCNGTCTAATGACCGGATTTATATTGCCCGACATGTTCGCTTCAACGAACATGTGTTTCCCTACCAGCCTTCACCAACCCCACCAYCACCATCCACTCCTCCTTACATCTCTATATTTCCTAACCCACCCCCCGGTTTCCCACCCGAGCCTCCACAATCGCCTCCACCACCACCCCCCCCTCCTCAATCTCTTCCTCAATCTCCTCCCCAATCGTCTCCACAATCTTCACCATCACCACCTATTCCACCTCCTTCTGATGCCTCCCATCCCCAACCAAACCCCCACCCATAACCACCACCACCATTGTCTTTTCCTTTGTTGTTGATTACAATACTATTGGTAGTCTTGTTTCCTTCACCTGCAGAAGAGACTAGAGATGTAGTCTTTGTGTCATTGCTAACTACAGCTTCCTTTTCGTCGCCATTTACGCTACAAAACAACACGAAAACTACGAAGAAAAACAAAAGAATCCACAAGTATGTTCTAAGTGCTACTACCTTCATGTTTGATCCAAATGCAAAATATGCTGTAGTCCTCACTTTATAAAGGCCAAACTGCTACTACTGAGTACTGACAACTAGACTGACCCCACCCCACCCTTATAGGAGACAGGGTGGACATTAGGTGGGGATGCCTTAGGATGCACTCTGTCCCCACATAGGATCAAATTGGGAGGCTTGTAGCAGAATTTAAATGAGCATGCAGAAAGGAGAGAGGCATATATATCTATATATAGGACTCCTTTTTATCAATTTTTGGTTGTTTATAGAGTAAAATAATGGAGTAGTGTGCTACAAAGCTCCTGCAATTTGCAGGGCATGCAATGCAAGAACCATTAACCTTATCTTCCTAATGATACAGTCCACACCAACCTTGGCTTCCAGAATCAGCAACCTGTTAAGAATAAAACCAAACCAAACGGACCCGGTATATCCTACATAGAGGTACGGTAGAATAAAACAAAACCAAACGGACTCGATATGTACTACACAGAGGTAGGGTAGAATAAAACCAAACCAAACGAACCCGGTATATCCTACACAGAGGTAGGGTCTGGGAGCAACCTGGTAAAAATCTTGACAACTAAAAGTAGAAACATCAAGCAATGTGGCTGGTGTTGTAAGTGGTAAGATTGAACCCTTTCTTTGTGCAGTGAGATTGTTCCATTTCATGTTTGTATCAAGAACATTTTTCCAAAATGAGATTGGATCCCATCGGCAAGCAAACTGCAAAAGTTCCACTTTTTCTACAAATGGCTCACCACACGTTTCTTTCCGCATAATTTAGAGTTAAAGATACTGAACCCAGTGGGATGAGCAATTGAGGTTAGACATGGCGGCTTTAGGCAGTTCCAAGGACATTGACCTCTGATAGAAGCTCTTGGAGACGCAAGACTATGGTAGCAGGAGTAAGTTAGACTAGGGGTGTGTAGTTTCCATATTTAGAGTTATGCTTTTCTTGTACCTGTTTTTTGTATGTTTCTGCAACTTCTCCAAACTCTATCTTATCTGACTTCTCTTTGTCACACTTTTCACAAACCGGGGGTCTTCATGGAAACGTCCACTCTACTTTTTCGGCTAGAGGTTAAGTCTACGTACATCTTATCCTCCCAAGACGCCACATTTGGGTGGAATATAGTGGGTTCGTTTGGTTTGGTTTATACTGGACCTAGTATATGGGTTAGTTGAGATGGTGTGGAGAGGCCGGAACCTAAAGCGGTCACATTGGACCACAGGACCATCCTCTAACGGTTGGTTGGCATGATGTGTTAATAGATAGAATCATGTTGCACAAAAAGTCTCACAAGATAAGAAAGAATGTTGGAAAATAGGAATGAACTTCAAGGATAAGGCATAGTTCATGGTCCTAGACTAACTGTATACCACCAAAACTCACCAAACTGCCTGAGCATTAGCAAAGGTGAAAGTATCATGTCCCATTTTAAAAAAGTGCAAATTGTGGACTTAATAATAATAGCACATTACAAATATAAATCCTATCTTAAAAGTAGTTACATGCTTAAATCAAGTAGAAATACAATGATCAATTCAGATTATGATCATAAAACAAAATATTCTTCTAAAAGCATTCGATATGGTACCTTGGCAAACAAAGGGTATATACCCTGCAATGCATTACAAGAACTAAAACATGGTTTGAAAACTAATCACGTGCAGCCAACAGCGTCAACGAATCTTGCTTATCAAAGGGAGCTTCCACATCTACACTTCCAACAAGGATCTGTAACAGTCCCTTTGAACAATTGCATTATCCTTTGCTCGCCTGCATTGACCGAATGTCAAAGTAATAATAAAAAGTTAGTCACCATAAAAGGGAGTGAATAGTCAGCACGTTAAATGTTGAAATAGTTTATATGGTGTAATTTAGATTAGAGTGTTTGGCATGCGGACGGCACTAGACAAAACTGGACCGGACAGGCGAGAGTGAGGTAGGTGGGTGAAAGAATTGTTGAAGGTTTTAGGGGTTTAGATTGACTTGGGTAGTTTAGTAATTTACCAATCTTGTCCCATTTTTGTTCCACCTACTTTGGTGGGATAAAGAAATGCATTTTTGTCGTATCCTGTCCCAGTCTAATCTCGCGTCAAACATGGGACAACAAGTTTTTGTTTTGTCCAGTCCCACGTACCAAACACATAACTCTAAAAGCAAACAGCCACCGGCACAACTAACATCCACCAGCAATCATTCTTATGTCTAACAATTACAAAGATTATTAGCAAGCATCCTCATGTTTCACGATTATGGAGCTCATTAGCAATCATGCATTTGCCAAGTTAATGGGAAGTAAGAGCCAGTGAGGCAAATGCACCATATGAACACTTTTCCTTTATCAGTTATCAGGGCAATGAATCAAGCTGATTATGTAATAAATGACAAACCACAGCAAAAAGTTGTACACGAAAAACTATATGAAGAAATCTTCATTGGTCAACCTATTGCCAAAAGGTGTTACACTCTTCCTGTTAGCCACTCAAGAGGCCAGGAGGAATGGGCTGACCAGGGGGGGTTGAACCTTAGATCTGCAGTAACCATTGTGCATTAACTCCTTGCCTAGATAAATTGACCCACTCTTAACCTGAAGAAGCCTTCATTTTGGGACTAAGACCGACCCAGAAAGTGATTATTATTATATTATTATTATTATTTGGGAAAATTACAAAAAACGTCCTTGAATTATCACTGAAATTGAAGGATGAGTCTCTTAGCATATACAACAAAATCATCTCTGAGTATACAAAAAGTGCACAAAATCCATCCTAGACATCGATTTTAATGAGCTATGTGAAGGACAAACTAGTAATTTCAACATCTAAAGGGATGGAATAAAGAATTCTTATTGTTCTTTATATTTATTATAATTTTATTTATTTAATTTTTTTTCAAGATTCTTCATCATCTTCATAATCACCACCATCATCACCACCCCCACCCGCATGTAAACATCACGCCATTACCAACACCACCACCACCCACTAAAACTACTATTCACCAGAATTGTTGGTTTAGCAGAAACAATTAGAGGCTTTCAATTAATCTCTCACTTTGAGGAAAAAAAAGGATTTATGATCCATGATATCAATTTCAAAACAAGAAAACAAAAGCCAATATAGCCTTTGACCAGCCAACAAGGAAATAAGGGAAAATCGTTGTTCTTGTCCAATGAATCCCTATGTCTGAGGTTGAGCAGCTACGCTCTCGTTGGCATAGATACAAGTGCATGGAAGAACGTCGTCACTTCTTTTTTATGTTTCTATTGGTTTGTTTTTAGCCTACAACGACTGGATTGAGAATAAAAAAATGTGTAAAAAATTCTATTGACAGTCGTTCTTTCAACAAAAAAATTATGTCTTCATACCTTTCATCTATTCTACTAGCAAATTATGTTCTTACCTTATACCTTCATGAACAGAATGGCCAGCTGGATGATTGCACTGCCAAAAGTATATGTATTGAACTCCTTGAACTTCAGATTTTCTCATCATATCACCTTATCTGTGAGGGAGAACATAACAGGCCCGAAGCATCCATGCCTATCACTGAAAGATCACATACGGTACACAACCTCCCCTCTTGGCTTGGCAGAAAATTGGAGCTACAGTATGGGCACAAAGCTTTTTTCTGACCATGATAGATGGGGACATGAGTGGCCCCACAAATTACAAATGGATTTCTGAAATCGTAGTTTAGCTTAGATGAATCAGTCAGATTCTTTTCTGCCGCCTGCAACACTTGTCTCGCTGTCCTTGATTGGTTCTCATTTGTGGGATTTGTCTCGAGAAGCCGTCTGGCAAAATTGGCTGCCGTATTAAGGTTCCTTGCGTTGTAAGATAATTTCATTGCACTTAGCAGTGCGAGCCTCATATGTGGAACTTGAAGATTGCAGTGAGTAAAATAAGCAGCAAGCTCTTGTTGACGAACAGGATCATCTTTGAGTTCTTTTCGTTTGAGCTCCATTTGTAGACCTAAAACATACTCTTTCACAATAACAATCAGTTCCTTCACTTCATCAACCTCTCGTCTTGACTCAACCACAATAAGAGGAATGGTGTGAAGAATATTTGATAAAAGCCGAAGGGCCTCGGAAAATCTTCCAGCTGTTGTGGCTTTATAACCTGCTTTTAGTTTCTCTTCCAACTGTGAAAAGTTGAACACAAGTGCGGGTGGACCCCTCACGTTAGGAGCAGCAGACTCGGTCCATTCCCGTTCAACTGCCATAGACAATACAGGAACAGACGAGAATGCACGTAGATAAGAATGGCTCCCAACATGAAGATCAATAAACATGGATTTTAGAGGGGCAAAGTTTTGCATTCCCAGTTGCCGATGCAACAATCTCATTGCAGTTTCAAAGTTGCCAGCTGCTACATGTTCAGCAGCCAGAGAGGATTTTTGGATCCAAAGTTGGCTGACAGGCATGCCAGGAGAGGGGGCCACAAAGGATGAATGGGAACTTATAGAAGCCTTTGGAGTGTCTGTCTCAGGAGGAAGTTCCAAATCTTCAAGGTCCCACCCTCCCTCCTCATCATTATCTTCATCGACTTCTCTATCTTCCAGTACAGCTTGAATATCGCCATTCTCCAAACCATCCACATCAACTAAATCTAGTTCTTCACCCCAATCAGCATCATTTACCTCTTCCTCGTCATCAGGGACACCCTTACCGACATTTTCAAGACCACCCTCAAAAATGCCTCTCATGACTCGCAAGAGGGGCCAATCTCCACCACGCATGACTGGAGTGGGTGGCATTAGAAGTGAAGGTATCTTGCCTTTCGGCAACGTAGGAAGGTCCCCCAACTCTGCTGCAAGGCGTTCAACAACATCCTGTAGCCCATGAACTGAAGCAGTAATGTAGGCAAGAGGTAAATGGCCAGCATTCTCTAAAATGCTGACACGTTCTCGAATATTACCCAGATAAAGAGCATTATGGAACTGGCCCATGACATCATTCTTGACTTCAGCAATCTTAAGCATTTTTGACAACTTTTCAATGTTCCCTGTAATCAAGTAAAGAAAAGATAGCCTCTCAAAATTCTTTGTTCTCTGGTAAGCATACTCCACAATTCCTGCATTTCCCTGCCGAAGAGCCTCAACCCCCAATCTATACCAATGATCCTTCTCATCTATCTCCTTCGCCGCAGCAACAGCTATCTGAATATTGCCACTGTCCAGAGCCAGATTGAAACGAGTTCTCTCATCTTTAACAAAGTGAAGAGCAACTTCTGGAAACCCCTTTTGCTGTAGATAGGCAATCATCGCTTGCCCACAAAGCTGTGAATTTCGGATCATGCTCATGACATGGTCATACTTCTTTTTTAGTAAGGACAACTTGAATATATATTCCGTTGCATCAATAACTATAATCTTGTTCTTTCCATCCCGATCTATGTAGAAAATCTTATTTCCCAAAACTTTTGTGATGTATATAGGGACGTCAAGGGTCCTTATTACCCCACTATCTCCATTGGGTAGGCAATACTTGATGTGATTCAGGGTGGTGTATATGAAAACACCATTATCGTCCCAGGCTCCACCCTTAACACGTATTGTCTCGTGAAGGGTGCACTGGTGGACAAGCTTCTTGCTAGCAACAACTATGGAATGCTTGCTCAACAACGCTACGTTTTCCATGTCGTTTGACCAGACAATATACTTGACAAAAGATGTTTGAAGGCTACCTAGAACAATCCTTTGCTGAAGATCAAAACTTACCACCCTGTCTTCGGCCCTACAGAGCACATTACCCGTTCCAGCATAGAAAATGGAATCAGCAGTTATTGGCAGACCACTCTTTTTAACAATCTCATTTTTAAGGTTCTTGACTAGTACTTGATTAGTGCTTTTGTCAAGCACCGCAAACCTATTTCGAGCCACAAACACAGCTGATCCTCCAGCGCCTCTTTTTGGATCTTGGACCGTGTCACCCCTGCTGATGCTGTCTTTGGGTACAATATACAACTCATAAGATCCGCCATCGACATCTGAACATATGAGGACAGCATTTTCGGTAGGACTATATGAAAGAGTGTGTGGACCCTGATTCAGAGATGTGGAGCCAGGCCGTCGAATTGGAAGCACTTGTGTTTCCTTTTGAGTTGAGAACTCATAGAATCGCAAGAAGCGATCTTTAGCATAGAACATTGAATCACCACTTACAGAGAAGGCAGGCCTCTCTCTTTCAAGCTTAAACACGATCATCCCACTGTCATGACCAGCTGCAAGAAGATTCATCTCTGGATGAGATGCAAGAATCCAAAATCGATCATGCTCTCTTCGGAAAGTATGAATACCAGTACGCTTTGTCACATCCCAAACACGAATGCTCTTATCTTCTGAGTTGGAAACAATTATATCCTGTTTGCTGTGAAATACGACGCATGACACATTATTCACATGTCCTCTCAATGTGTCCACTTCCCAAGCCTTCGTGTCTGGAAAACAAAGAGGGATCAATAACATGACTTTGATAAAATAATATTTTGAAGTCATATCTAAGAAAACCAAAGCTAGAGCAGAAATTCAAAATCTAAGTCATCATAGAATGTTCAAAATAGCAATTATTGTCTATCTATTGGAATAGACCACTGCGCTGTTTATCAAAGTGCTCAGTGCCTCGCTTATCATAATCTTCATAATCTTTTCAGTAGCATTTGAAAATACGCCTACTCAGCTAACTGGAGGGTGAGGAGATGTGCTTCACTAACTTAACCATGTAGGGTTCAAAAAACTTTAAAAGAACTGTATGCGGTTATAAATTTAGAACCTAACAAGGCCTATCAAACAATTTAAATGAAAATTACAAAATTCTTGTTTTCACCACTTACCATTCATGCGCCACAACTTCAGCAGACGGTCATCAGCACCTGAAACAATTAGAGGCAACGTTGGATGAAATGAGGCCCAGTTAACTCCTCTATCATGACCTTCCAGAACATACTTCACAACAACATCAATTCCACCAAAAAGATCAGAGTTTAGCTGACTTAAATTCATCAGGTCATCAGCTGGGGACACATTTTTCTTCCTCAAAGATCCAATATCCCAGACGCGAACTGTCTGATCAAGTGAAGCCGACACGACAAGATCTTCTTTAGGGTGGAAGGATGCGCACATTACATAATGATTGTGACCAGTTAAAACAGAAAGGCATGACCTTGACTGCCAATTCCAAATTCGAACAGTTTGATCATCACTTGCACTCACTATCCAAGGAGACTCATGATGAAACTGTACAGTACGGATATAATCAAGGTGTCCAAGGAGGGTGAACAGACACCTGTGCAACTTGTAGTTCCAAACCTTAATCTTGTAATCATCCCCTGCAGAAGGCACAACTGTAAGTAGAGTTTTCTTTTTTCTTTGTGTGTGTGTGAGGGTGGAGGAGGGGACAAGTCCCCTTTTGATTTGCTAAATATGTCAAGTATGTCATATGCTTGGCTTTTATCAATAGGACAAAGCTTGGATCCAGGTCTAGACTATGCTGTTATAGCGGTGAAAATACAAAATTGTGGTCATGACCGATATTTGAAATAGCGGTTGTAGTGGTGGTATAGCGGTCCAAAAATAGCGGTTCATATAGTATTTCTTAGAACTAAATAATATATATATATATATGTATGCATACATAAACATATCATATGCATTAATTAAAAATATAGTTTCAACATCAAAATATCAACTTAAACAAGTTTCACAAGACAAAATAGGATAAATGTTCATAAACAAGCCAATCGCAAGCAATAGGTTCAGCATCCGAGTCAACATAGTTCTAAAGAGGCCCAAGCTAAAATATCGGAATATCAGTCCGCAATTTCACCTCAAATATCGGTCAATTGCGACGCTAATATCGGAAACGCAATTTTCACCACAATTTGACCACCGCAATTTTATCTTAGTCCGCAATCTGCTATTGCAGCGCAATGGCGCCGCAATTAACAGCATAGGGTCTAGAAAGTACGGGTATTAAAATATCAGGCTTAGAAGGGAAAGGAAGTAGCATCAAGGGTAAGTTGACATTCATCCCTAATAGCGAAGGGGCCCACCGCCATCAATGATACCTCAGATAGAATCATTTTATGGAAGTGAATGTACTCATAAGAGTGAGTCAATTAGATGGAGCACTTAATGAATTAAGCTTTGGATTATCCATCAACAGAAATCATAGAGTCAAGGAACTTTGAGAACATTATATTTAAATTAAAATATAATTTAAAGCAAGAGATTGGTAAAATGACACTTGAAGATTATATTTAAATTAAAATTGGTTACCTTTTTACCAAGGGTGAAGTACTAGACACATCGTTGGTGATTATTTATGATCTAAATTTGACAAGAAGAATCAGAGAGCCAACCATCTTTAATATCTTTATCTCAAACTCAAAGAAGTACAAGCTTCTGTTTACCGTCCCTTTTACACAGTCATATTAGACTTTTCAGCTAAATTTTACATACACTTAATACTGAAACATGACCATTAGAAGCTTAAGAACTTTGGTACAAAACCCAATCATGCACCCTCCCTAACATACGCTCTTATCATTTGCAAGCAGAGGTCACAAATGCATGAGACAACGCAGAGGCATCTGCATTCTCATAATGCCAATCTGATACTAGAGAATTGAGACTTCATTTACCATGAGCATTTCATGAAAAAGAATATGAAATCTTATCAAACCAAAATGAGGACTCATACAATTTGGTGAAATGTTTTTCCACGACGGATTAAATGCATTTAGATCATCCACGACGAATTAGAATGCTCATAAGTTTAGTGTCAATGGCAAAGGAGAGGTCTACCTATTGTAGTGGTCTAGTGGGTCTGTGTTTCCTGGTCATGTTAACTAACCCAATATTAAACTTAAAAGTATGTATTGACCAACAAGTTTTGGGCGTAACACTTCATAACTTCTAGTATCTAATACCTCCGAGTTCTGAAACAAGATAAAGAAATGATATACAAAAGATAACATTACAAAAGTTATCCTGCCACACATTGTAGCAAGCTCCAAGCATAAATTTATAAAGACATCTAAATTACGGAATTACCCATACCAAGTAAAACTTCACTGAAAGTGTCAACTGTGAAAAGAGTAACTTCTAAACATAAAACCATAAATCCGCTAAGGCAACACATAAAGCACGATTACCTATCACAAAGTATCACCTTGAAAAGTTATCTCCCCTAAACATAGATTACGTCACCAGTCAAAGTCATTTACCTCCAGACACAAACAGCGGCTGCAATATGTGAAAATGAACACCACGAACCGGACCATCATGTTCGTCAAACTTATCAATCAGTGTCCCCATTCTATAATCCCATAGCTGGATCACACCACTATGAAGACTCGCAAGGATCCATGGCCTTTTCGCATGGAGACTCAGTCCCTTCACTCTGTTACTCTTAGTCTCGAATTTCGTCAACATCTTTTTCAAGCAACAGCAAATCTTAAACCCTGGAATTTGAAACAATTCAACCATAGATTGCAATTACAACAAATGAGATAACCCAACAAAACAGTACATCTTGAATGAATCTAAAGTTCAATTGAAGATCATAATGGTTCACAGATCGAGAAAGATCGATCAAATTGAAGTGATTACTGAAGAAAACAACATACCTCAGATGTGATTTCCTCTATAGTAGATCCGACCGATCAGACTTTCGCAGTTAAATTGAAATCTCACACCAAAATGAACGTGTGAGAATTATATACATGAGGGGGGGAAGTCGATAGAGATTTGCAATTGCAGGGCTTGCAGATCGCGAGCTGGGGGACAAGAAAGATGAGTACTTAAGTTGTGTGTGGGAGTGTAAATAAAAGAAATTATAGTGGCATAAACGAATTGAATTATAAGTTCCCATATATTCATTTTGCTCCCCTATACTTTTACTTTTTTGTAAATTGACCACATTTCAAAGTTTGTCAATGTCAACGTATAGTCAATCTCTTAGTACACTATTTATCCATTCCATGTGTAACTATAGGGTTCGTTTTATCAAACATTTACTCGTTAAGCAGTTATCAAGTCACATTACTTAATTGGATAAACATGACAAAGACCAAAATCTTACTAATAAGAGCAATAACAAGAACCGAGTGTCGTATCCGGTAAATAAGAGGGACGACTCTTACCCGGTTAGTGTTTACCAAATAAATTGCTACATACAATGTCATTTTGATGGACTAAAATCTTACTCAGTAAGGTAAGTGACAGTGTTAAATTTTATCGATAAGTGTTTACTACGTAAGTATTTGGATAAATGGTCTTATAGACTCAATTCTAGACGTGTGATTGGTATCTCTGATTTCAGAACGGATTGGACCAGTTATTAGGTCCAAAATCGTATGCCACAACACATAGCTACAATGTATACAACTTTCTTATTGATATCCCAACTACGTGTTGGTGCTCACTTAGTAGAGTTCATATGTCACTCAGCTCATCAATTAATCATTTTTCGTCGTAACAATTTCCCTGTAAAAGTTCGAAAATTTTAAGCATTTCTACTGCATAAAAACCCTCCCTCTTTATTCTCTTTCTTGTATGATTTATTTATAAGTACACGGATCTCTTAATTTTGCAAGGATGGTAGCCCAATAGTAGACATGTCTCTGAATCTCTCAAATCTGTAAGTACCGTTTGATTAGGGAGGTGTAGAAAATCAACCGATCCAATTGAAACCGACCGATCCAATTAGAATCGACCGGTCATAATTGGATATCTAATTGTAATCGGGTCAGATTGAAAATTTAAACATCCAATTTGGATCGGTCGGTTCTTGGATGGTAGTCCAGAACCGACCAAAATCGACCGAACCAAACCGACCACCATCCGATTATCATCCAGTTATCCATCCAATCATCATCCAGTTACTCATCCAACCATTATCCAACTACATCCAATTAATTTATTTTCAATTTGCTTAAATTGAAATTCTTTTTGTGTTGGTTTTTGAATTTATAGTCAAGCTTGTGTTGGCTTTAACACATTAACAGTGTTAATCAATTTGTTTCAATGTTGAAAAATTGGATTGAATTAAAATATTGGATGAATCCAATCCAATCATTCATTGGATGTTGGATAGATCCAATCTGATCCAATGGATATCTAATAAGAATATCCAATGGATGGAACCGAACCGATCCAATCATCCATTAGATTGGATTCAATTGGTTGTCTAATGTTAATAGGATCAGATCGGTTGACAAAATCCAACATTTAATAGATGATTAGATCGGCTCGGTTCCTCTTACATCCAATGAATGTCAACTGATGAACAAGCATACGCTGGATCATGTCGAAGTAATCATTCTTACCAACCCTTACTATCATAATCCCTTTTACATTATTTTATAAATTATCACATTCAATCATTCAAACATTTAGAACATATATTGATATAATTAAAGTATTTTTAAGATATAAATGACACATTTAAATGTCCATATGATGTAAATGCAATTCTCGTATCAAGTGTGCTAACCAAAGACATGTATAAAATCAGTCTATGAAGAAAAGGGTTGGGTTCACGTGAGACCGAGGGTTTTTCGTGAGACCCGTAAGACCAATTTATGTTCATTGATCAACTTTATAAGCTAATAATCTAATGGTCTAAAATTGCACGGTGGCAGTTTTGTGATTATTGAGAAGTCTCATGGCAATTTGTGATTATGAATGTTCAGATTGTAGATCTAAATTCATGGGTTAAGAATTGGTCTTACGGATCTCACGAAAAATCATTGGTCTCACATGATCCCAAGTCATGAAGAAAAAACATAAATTTAAAAAAGAATATAGAAAAAAGATTATATTATTTTTCTTGTAACCTACTGTTACGGTATCTTTTATAAAAGTTTCAACATTTTTTTAAATAGATTAGATACGTCTCTTATATATAAAAAATAAGTGGATGATGGTAAACGTAACATCACGGGCTAACCATACTATATATTGTCTGTTTTGTCCACATTTGGACTCACGGTTTTAGAAACGCGTATGATAGATAGGTATCTTATCTCTTACGAGATGACATCTGTTCCCCTCCCCAACCAATCTTATAATGCACTCCTCTTAGGAGCCCAACGTCCTCGCTAACACAACAATCTGGTTCTCAACGCTGATACCATCTGTAACATTACAGACTAACCGTATCAGATATTATCCGATTTGTCCACATGTGGACTCATGGTTCTCGAAATCGTCTAACAGAGGAGATATACAATTCCTTACGAGACAACATTTGTTCTCCTCTCCATTCAATTATGTGATCTTACAATAACACAATCGTTTTTCATTTTCTTTCTCACAAACGCAGGGATGAAAAATTACTTCAATTTATGTCTAAGCACGTAAGGAAAATAAATATATCTTACTTAAACAAACTTAATAATTATTATATGTATAATAATTACGTTGCAATTTTGACAAAGAGGGGATAGACTTGGATCACATAAGACTAGCCTGTTTTTGTGAGACCTATGAAACCACTTTTTTACACTAGAAACTTCATAGCAAAACGCTGTGAAAGTGTTTTCGCTGTGAAGGTTCGGTTTTTTTTAACTTCATAGCGTTTTGCTGTGAAGTTTCAAGTGTAAAAAAACGGTCTCACGAAAACGGACTAGTCTCATGTGAACCCAACCCAGGGGATTAATAAGTGTTCTGTCAATATGCTTATGTTGTTAACTTCTATTTCTGGAAAATGGGCAATTTTGTTAACCAAACGAAAGTATGGTGTCCATTTAATAAAAAATGAAAATGTAAAGGGGCCAATGGAATGTTTAAATTATATAGGGTTTGATGTGTAAAATCTAGCGCGTTTGGTGGTCGGTGCCGGGTGGTCAATTGGGGGTTTTAAACTTATGGGACGGTACAGATTTAATTTGAGGGTTACGATAAAATCTAACGATCAGCAATAAGTTAAGAACCACCTAGATCTGGAAACGTGTAAAATAGTCAGAGGGTAATTATACGATAATTATTATTGAGTAATTTACACTTTTGGTCCCTGTCATCGTCCATTAATATCCATTTGACTAAGAAAATGATACTAACAAGATTCGAACTTGGGTGTGAGGTGGAATAAAAGTCTTGCAAACCAACTCTACCAAATAAATTTTGTTCTCATTGTAATTTCAAAATACATACGATGACATACAACAAATTAATACGGTTGCACCGTTCACGAAACGTACTTTTTTATCCTTCGACGGAGAAATAATACAGTGGCTCGTACCACCTATACCACAAGCCTAGGTTCGTCCATGATGGTTGGACCACCACTCTATTTACGAGAGGTCATATATTTGAATATTTCATGTGAAAGTTTATTTTTTTATTTTAGAGATTGAAATCATAACCTTAATTTAGTGAGAAAGTACGTATACTTGAAGGAAGGCAGAATATTTCATCCCTTATTAGGAATAGTTTAGTTAGATGTCAATAGCTGGTGATTCGGAGTTGTCGACTCGTCATTTCCAGTCAAATAAAGGAGCATCCCCCTCTTCATCGCAGTCGCGAAATACGTTGTATCGATAGAGTGTCATTTGTCTTACCCCTCACGATTCCTCTACCTGAGGGATCAATAAGCAACCGGGTGACGGACGAACTACATCTGTTCCAATTCCAGAGACACAGTTATAAGCATAATTACTACAACTATGTCAAGATAGTTTTTTGTTAATCTTTTTCTTATTTTGATTTTATTTTTATTTTTTCATGATTTATTTTTCTTTCCAATGTCAATTTACCTGAAAAATTGTCGTTTTTTATCTCGTTTTTAAGGCAACATATATTTATTTCAAGGATCGATGTCGATTCCATTTGAAAAAAAAATGTATTTTATATTTCAAATCGAAACAATTGACTTTTTTAGGTTAAACCGTGTTGACTTTCTCCTCAAGTCAAATCGCGATTTGTAGACGTTTGATTCACCTTAAATGTGCACCTGCTCAAAGAAGTTCTTGGATCCATCACTGACTGTGATTATCATTTTGCGTTGGATTTGATCCCTATGGTTACGTTTTTATTTCGGATTTGGTCTATATCTCATTAACCCTGTTAAAAAGGCTCAATTAAGTTAAAGACATTCGGGTCTTTTACTATTATTTTTTGTTTTATCTTATTACTGCGTCTTTTTTCTATTGTTTTAAATAGCTTTTCAATGTAAACATGCATAAAACATGTGTACAACCCGTTGATCCACCTAGGGGCGGATCCAGCCTTTAAGCACCGGGGGAAAAGGCCCCCAGTCGAAAACCAAAAACTTGTGTTGATTAGCTTAAATTTTTCATTTTCACCCTCGTCTTACATGGTTTCCCCCTAATCCCATATAGCCATATGCTTCCTTCCTCCAAGTCCCAGCCAACGTGCCCCAACCCATTAATTTCCTGAATTCGCCACTGGATGCACCCTCACCTAATCCCACCCGTTTTTTTTCCCGACAAACCTTAAGGTCCGAAGACCCCCCTCTGGTCATTTTCCGTGGTGAATCCAACAGTCTAATGAACCCAAAAATTTCTAAACAACTAAAATCTAACCATTTATAGACTCATATTTAAAATCAAAACCCTAAATTAAAAAATAAATCGAAACCTATAATTAAATAACCAAAGGGACGTGGCTTTTGCTCAACTGCCATTAGGGCTGTAAACGAATCGAACGAACACGAACGGAGGCTTGTTCATGTTCGTTCATTTAACTTAACCGAACAAACGAACGAACACGAACAGTAAACGAATGAAAATCTT